TTGTTAACGATATAGGGCTTTATGAAATTAATTAAATTGATGTTGGAGGATGGCTCGAATTGCAGGCAAATCCACTGAGATAATTGAAGATCAGACCATTGATTTCGATGTCAAAGAATTAAGAGAGGCCCGTGGGAAAATTGATCAAATACTCAAATACTTTTGTGAAAATGACCTTCTATGATTTCATTGTGAAAACTGAACAAAAAGTACAGAAAGTTCCTGACTTGTCCGACATATTCAAGTTGCCACAAACCACACCGAGAACCTAACTTATGCATCTTTATCGTTAATAATTAATATGTATAAGGGTTACGAATTGGTTGTGAACCTCACGATCAGCAGTTCCAAACTAGCAGTGGTTCTGTGGGAGAAAGATGAGGCTTTCTGCTCCCATAAAGATTTACAGCCTCGGAAACTCTGTACAGAGTCGCTATGAGTTGGAACCGACTCCACGGCATATCACCACCACCACAAACAATGCTGCAATACGGAATTTACTGATGGCATCCTTCTCAGATGTTCTATTTTATTATTTACTGTTCAAAACACTGCCATGTTGCTAAAGATACTTATAATAAAAAGCAGTAATAATGAAAACAAAGCCACGTAAGATCTAGGTTAGAACCGACAACAGAGTCGTCAGAACAGAAGTCCATTGTGAGTTGGGATATCATACTGATATCATTTAAGCTTGCTGGACAAATTATATTCCCTTCATTTGACAATCTATTCATTTACCTTAAAAATCTACTCATTAGTCACAACCATGACCTTACTGTTGTTGCTAAGTGTCATTGAGTCCATTCCGACTCATAGCGATCCTGTGTAGGGTTTCTGGGGAACGGCTGGTGAGTTTGAACCACTGACCCTGAGGTTCAAACCAACCTTGCGGTTCAGTGCTTATCCTACAGTGCCACACCAGGACCTCAATTATAACCTAAACTTGGTTAAATATGGTGGTGCGGTGGTTCAGCACTCAGTTAAGTTACAAACTAATGACCATTTGTGGGAGAATGATGCGGCAGTCTGCCTCCACAAACACTGACAGCCTTGAAGACCCCATGGGGCAGTTCTTCCTGTCCTTTTGGGTCACTGAGACAGAATCAAGGAGATGGCCACAGGTTTATGGTTTTGGTAACAAAAAATGAAATTACTTTCAACATTTTGTAGTTTCATTTTTCATGACAAAATAGCTCATTAAACACAGTAAAAACATTATTTACTATGAAATGTTGGTCCATAGTTTAAGTAGATTCACTTTCATGAACTGATCTGGCTTCAATCTTCATCAGTTCCAAAGGTACCACACACAACCAGGCTACCATTATTTTACCTCAGTATTTTCTATTTCTCCCAATTGTAAAAATAGTTTTAGTCAGGCAAATGGCCACCCAGACAAAAGGTTACATTTCCCAGGCTCCTTTGCAATCACGAGTGGCCATGTGACTTGATCTCACCAATTGGAAGTTGCAGTCAAGCAAAAGAGTTCAATTCTGTGACCAGTTTATGGTGGTGGCGGTTATGTGCCGTGAAGTCGGTTCTGACTCATAGCGACCCTGTATAGGGTTCCCGAGGCTGTATATCTTTACGGGAGCAGAAAGCCTCATCTTTCTCCTGCGGAACAGCTGGTAGTTTTGAACTGCTGACCTTGAGGTTCACATCCCGATTTGTAACCACTACACGACCAGAGCTTCTGGAGCCTGTTAAAATCCATTGCCATCCAGTGGATTCTGACTCTTTCGAGACTGACTATTCAGGACTGGGGAGAACTGTTGCATAGAGTTTTCAAGGCTATAATCTTTACAGAGGCAAACCGTCACCACATCTCTCCTATAGAATGGCTGGTTCGAACTGCTGACCTTTTGGTTAGTAACCTACTGCACCCATCGGGGCTCCTACCCTGAAGCAAGCCCAGAAAGTAATATGGACTTACCATTAAGATAAGAAAAATAAATAATAAACAATGATATCCTGGAATTCTTCTGGTGTGGTGCTGTAGGATAAACACTTGGACTGCTAACCACCACAAGGTCGGTGGTTCAAACCTACCAGCCGCTCTTCAGAAACCCTATATAGGGTTGCTATGAATCGGAACTGACTCCACTGCACTGAACAACAACTTCACAGTGATGTCTTGGATATCTCAATCCAGAGATAAGGCAGACTTAAATGCAAGTTAACCACCTGCCCTGATCTTCCTAGCTGCCAGGGCAAAGAGTAAAAACAGATGGAGTATACAGCTCTTTTGTAATAACCAGGAGTCTACCAATTCATCAGAATAAGCAAATGTTTTCAGGGTCCTGAGTTCCGAAAAGTTAGACTGGAAGGGACATTCTAAACATAATGAATCCAGTTCTTGATGACTATTTTGCAAAGGAGTCCTGGTGTGGCGCTGTGGGTTAATGCGCCAGACTGCAAAGCCGTTCGTTTGAACTGCAAGGTCGGCAGTTCAAGCTCACCAGCTGCTTTTCAGAAACCCTATACAGGATCGCTATGGGTCGGAATTGACTCGACGGCACTTAACAACAACAACAATTTTGCAAAAGATGCCAATGTTCTGTGAATAGTTATTTACATTTAATAGTCTTCATTGAGATTTCAAAATTGAGCTTAGCTGGATGAAAGCAATTCTTTGGGGAGGTAGCTTTTTGGTGATTCAAGGATATAAGTTCAAGGCTAAAGTTTGGGAAATCTATTTTGGAGAACATTTACATTTCAGATAGCTCCTTTTCGTGCAGCAGTTATATGATTTAGAAACTCTAGGCTTCGTTCTCATTACAAGTCTTCCCACTGAATGTCACAGGATGTGAGTTTCCTTTTAATTTGACTGTTGCATTTTCCACATCCCCCAGACCTCCTTGATTTCTGATTGCCTTGGTTTCCGTTCTGATAATGCCACGAACATCTCATTTTATGGCTATGGGGAAACCTCTTTCTGGGTTGCAACTGTCCTAACTTTCAAATGAGGGTGGCTGATGAGAGAGTACATTTCATGTCCTTACCAATCCATCGGCATCAAAAGCTGATGTTTTCTATACAGGTCAAGGTTGTATGAGGGGTCTGTGGCCAAAACCTGATATACATTCTTTGGCTAAACAATGTACATTTACAAAACTGAATTTTGCCAATACTTTTTCAAATTCAGCTGAAAAGTCAGATTTGAAACAATTTGAAGGTTGAGGACCCTGGGCATGTACGGCTGTGGTTATTAGGGCCTGAGTGGTGACATGTCCTTTAATAAATGCCTCTGGTCAGCTTCAGGCCCTACCTGGCTGGCTGCATCTGGCTATACCCGGTCTCTGTGTCCATCTATGGTGATGGCCCAGGGTAACTTCTGACATTCTAGGCTTTCTTCTGAGACCCTCTTTCTACACCCCAGGAATCAGCAGTTACTCTTCTACACCTGCATGCCCTACTTTCCAGGTGATTCTGGGGTGCCAGAAGACACAACCTCTCCTGCTTGCTCCCTTCCACCAGTCCACACTGTGCATCTGAAAGGAAGCTGCCTCGCCTCGAAGTAAGCCGGAGGCATCCACCTTCACCCGGGTCACAGTGCCACCCAAATAGGCCCTTGTCCCATGGATACAACTGCCTGAGATTGCCACATAGCAGCCACAATATCTGGTTTCACAACCGCTTCAGTTCCCCATCCAAGCTAGGGAGTGTTTATTTATTTTTAATTAAAGCAAATGAAATTAATTGGGTTTGGAGCTCGAGATAAGTCACTGAACTTTAACTGCTCCTTTGCCTCAGGCAACCAGGTGAGAGTCTCTGGAATCCATCTAAATAGTTCCTTCAAGATAAACAAACATAAAGCCTGGCTCATTCTCTACCCAGGATGCAACACTATGGCACAAGCTGTAGGAGAGATGGGGGCATGCTGAGTAAGTGTCGGCAGGTAACAGACCCCCCCCCCCCCATTGATTTCTGTGCTGTGGTCATTAGCACGTGGAGAGTGGCCACAAGGCCCCTGACATGTTCCTCTCCATTCTCCACATCAATTTAAATTCCTTTCCTCCTACCTTCAATGCTCTTCTGGAACCTTCTTCCACACTCATGGTATGCAGTGTCGGTGGTTTTAATACCTTAACTTTTAACAGTGAATGCAAACTCACGTATGAGTACTTCATGACCACTGTATACTATGTTGTTGTTAAGTGCTGTTGAGTTGGCTCCGACTCACAGTGATGCTAGACAGGGTTTCTGAGGAGCGGCTGGTGAGTTTGAACCGCCAACCTTGCAGTTCAAAGTGATCATCTCTGTCCAGTGCATTAACCCACAGCGCCACACCAGGACTCCACTCTGCACTAAAGTTCATATTTTAAATGGGCTTGCTTAATTTTGTTTGAGCTCCAATTCCTTTCAAAAGGTCATTTCCTATCACTTCTATAAATGAGGAGGTCTCTGGGTGGCACGAATGGTTAAGAATGAGGGTACTGAGTGAAAGGTTGATTTGAATCCATTCAGAGGTGCCTTGAAAGAAGGGTCCAGTGATCTACTTAAAAAAATCAGCCACTGAAAACCCAATGGAGCAGTTCTACTCTGAAACACATGGGGTCACCATGAACTCGAATTGATGCACTGATTCTTTTTTTCAATTTGTTATAGATAAGGAAGAAAGGCCTGAGAGCTACTTTTGGAAATTAGCTAGTGAGAACCCTATAGCTCACAGTAGTCTGATCTGCCAGCATCATGACGATGGCTGGGCATTGGCTGGGTTGTGTTTTGTTCCGTTGTGCAAAGGATGTGGGGGGTCAACAGGAGTTGGGGGTTGACTCTATGGCAACTAACCACAACACAGGCAAAAAAAAATCTAGATTTTTTTTCAAATACATATGGAAATGAGTGCACGACTTCTAAATAAAAACAAACTTGCTTGTATACCACCTAATGACTCGTGTACCCGGAGGACCCCCAGCAGGCCTCTTTCGCATGCACAGCCATCACTTCTGGAGACACCTGCCGCTGGCCCGAGGCTGCAGCCTTGCCCCACTTACCTGTCCGGTAGCCTGTGCTGTTGAGGTACACGGCAAAGGTGCGGCTCTCGTGCTGCGCTTGCCAGGAGGGCGAGGAGCAGTTCTCGTTGTTGGTGTAGGTGTTGTGGTTGTGGACGTACTTCCCTGTGAGGATGGACGAGCGAGAGGGGCAGCACATGGGCGTGGTCACGAAGGCGTTGATGAAGTGGGCCCCGCCCTGCTCCATGATGCGCCGTGTCTTGTTCATCACCTGCATGGAACCTGCAGCAAAGATGGCAGAGGTGAGGTGGGGGCCCGGAGACCTGACTCTGCAGCAGCTATTTCTCAACTGTGTTCCGTGAGCAACAGACTTCCCCGAGCAATTCTCAAAAGGGTGCCCCTGTGCCCCCACCCCTGGAGGGTGTATATGACGACATCCCTAGAGGGCACCCCTGTACCATTGTCCGTGGAGGGTGCCCCCGCAATCCCATCCCTGGCGGGATTCCATGCCAACATCCCTGGAAGGCATCTCCCATCCCTGGTAGGACACCCCAACACCCCTATCCTGGAGGGTGCTCCCATCCCCCCATCTTGGACAGGGCACATTTGAGAATCAAGGGGAATAGACAGGGGGCATTACTGGCATTTGTGGGCAGGAGCCAGAGATGGCAGATGCCCTGTGGGGCTCCCTGGGGGCAGGTCCACACAATGAGGAAGTATTCTGGGTCCCAAGTCTCATTGCTATTCATAGGGGTAGGTTTACAAGTTACCTGAGTCTAGAATCGAATTCTGTATTTACGTATAAACAGAACGCCCTTTTTTTTTTTTTTTTAACAGGGTATTAACATACAATGAATTTTTTAAAAGCAACCACCATGTAAATTGAAGGTAGGTTATACTTTGCTTTATTTGGAACTTTTCCAAGAATTGTTCACACTTATTGAAATCTGTCACGTCAAACTCCCGGCCAAGCTTGTCTGTGAATATGTCTCAGCTGAAGCTCTCTGCATCAGCCATGGGCCACCGTTGTCCCCCTCCCCCTTCGTCCACACCATCATTTCCTCAAGGAGTCCACTGTCCATGCCTACCCAATGCCAGCTACCAGTCAGATCACACCTCATCTAGTCAACCTTCTGGGATTGCCCTGACTTCAGATTCCCTCAAGCTCCCAGCACACATGCAGCATGTTATTAGAAGTGAATTTCTTGTTTCTCAATGAAGCTGTTCGCAGAGGATAACACTGAGGGAGGAAGGAGGTGAACCTATGTAGCTGTCCTACTATGTGCTGGGTGTACACGCCTACTGTGCTCGGCAGTGTATCCACCAGGACAAGGTCTGTATGTCTTCCTCAATGCTGAGCCTTCACCACCACTGTGGTGCACAGCACACAGTAGGTACTCAATAATGCACAGAGTTGATGTGTAATTGTACCATACGGTTGGTACCCCAACAGTATATTTAAGCATCCAACTGGAATCCTTTCTCTCTCCCTTCTATTGCCATCTTAGATTTTTCCTTCTTTCTTGCAGTTTGTAGTAGGTTTACTGTCAAAATCCCACTGCCATTGAGTTAGTTCTGACGCATAGTGATCCCTGTCTAGGGTTTCAGAGGCTTTAAAATGCTATGGGAATAGAAAGCCTCCTCTTTCTCCTGTGGTTGTGGTTTGCAGTCCAGTGTTTATTGTATGGAATCATTATGTTGCTCTGTGAACCTTTACTGGAGCAGAAAGCCTCTTCTTCCTCCTAAGGAGCAGCTGGTGGGTTTAAACCTCTGACCTTGTGGTTTGCAGTCTGGTGCGTATCCAATAGCGCCACACCAGGAGTTCAGTGGGTTTAATTGTTGTTGTTATGTGCCATGGAGTCAGTTCCGACTCATAACAACCCTGTACAGGGTTTCTGAGGCCTTAAATCTTTACGGGAGCAGAAAGCCTCATTTTTCTCCTGCGGAACAGCTGGTAGTTTCAAACTGCTGACCCAGACCTCCAGCGGGATTAATAGTAAACCCCAAAAGATATAAGGGTGCTTCAGAAAATCCGTGGAAAAATGGAATGAAAAGATAATGGAATTTTCTCCACGAACTTTTGGAGCCTTCTTGCATGTCCACGCCCTAACCCCTGGGCCCTGTGAAGGTGACCTTAGTTGGAAAAAGGGTCTTTGCAGATGTAATTAGATGAAGGGTCTCACAATGAGATCTTCCTGAACTATCTAGGTGGGCCCTAAACCCAACAAATCCTAGAAGAAGCAGGTGGGAGACATAAATCCAAGCACACCTGGGGGATATTATGGATCAGGTTTCAGACCACCACAATAAAGAGAATATTGCAAAAAACAGAGTCACACCATCTTTTTGGTTTCCCAGAGCAAACGGATGTTTATAGTATGCTTTCTGAGAGAGTCTGAAATATTCAGAGACAGGTGCACAGAGACACAAAGTGAACACCTGCTGTGGTAAACGGAGGTGTGTCTGTGAAGAGTCAGAGGCTGCAGCCACCAGAGGTAGGAAGAGGACAGGAATGACTGGTCCCCGATCCTCAGAGCCCTTGGAGGGAAGTTGGTTTAGACTTCTGGCCCTCAGAGCTGTGAGAGAAACCACCACGTCTGTGGCACTTTCTTACAGCAGCCCTAGGAGACAAATGCAGGGTTCATCGGGCATTTGAGGTTCTTGCTGCTATCAATTACTTAATAACCCCTGGAGACTTGGAGACAACTAATCAGACACCTCCGCCTCTACCCCGAAGCTAAGACTGGATAGATTTTATAGGGCTCTTTCATCCCATCTTTCTGCCAAACAGGGAAGGAAACTGAACAAGAGCTCCCCAGTAGCAAACAGATCTTATCTCTTCATTGCTTAGAAGCATTACACTGAGAATACATCTCAGAGTCCTTCCTGTGGCCTGAAAGACCCCTGTCTTGCCCCCACCCCACTCTCCTCCACCTCATTTCCTCCCCACCCCGCGCACCTCTTGGTTTGGTTATCCTGGGTTCCATCATTATTTCTTAAATACTCCAAGCTTGTTGTCCGCCTGGAGCTCTTCTCCAGACTTCACTTAGCGGGTCCTGCTCATCCTTTAGAACTCAACTCAGAATTCACTTCCTCAGGATGGCCTGCTTGACCTTTTCCTGCATAGCCTATCACTCCAACGTCTGTTGTTTCTCCTTGACATTTACCTCCTGAAATGGTCTTCAGGAGCTCTGGTGGTGCTGTGGGTTAGGCAGAGCTGCTAACTGCAATGTTAGTGGTTCAAACCCACCAGCAGCTCTGCAGGAAACAGATGAGGTTGTCTGTTCCCATAAGATTTATAGGCTCAGAAACCCTATTCAGAGTTGCTATGAGTTGGAATTGATTCAACAGGTGTTTTTCTTTTTTAAATGGTCTTGTTTACTGGTTTGCTTGTTTATGTTTGGCCTTGGGCTGGGAGCGCTGGTCCACTCAGGTGTGGTCTGTTTCTCCAGTTTCCCCAGCCTAGCCTATACAGCGGGGGCTTGTTAACAACATCACTGAATGGCTGAAGGAGACTGGAAGCAGAACATGTCTCTGCCAGCTCAGCACCAAAGTGTTTTACAAGGGACTCACTCATGGAACCAGGTGCACTTGCTGAGCCTTTGGGCCAAGGTTGCCCGGGGTGAGTGGAGCGAAGATTCAGCTTCATGTACACAACTAAACAGGGCCTGTCGAGTTCTAGGATGGTGTGAATATCAACCACCCAGGTCACACGCCCTCCTGAAATGTCCCAGCTGTACTTCAGCCAGGCTTGCAGTCCTCGCTGGAGGAGACTGACCAGGTGGTATTTACTTGAGTAACTTCAGGTACCAGCTTCTGTTTTCAGGGCTAGGCATAGCTGGGTCTCACCAGCCTTAGACCATTCTTGGAAAACTGGCCCCTCGGAGGCCCAGGCAGTCTCTTGGTTCACCCAACAATTCCTTCAACCTTCAACTTTTACCACTAATCGGCAACTATCAGCAATGGACAGCTGGTTAGGTGCTGCAGGATCAGCACTGGGCTTTGAAGCACATGGTGAGCAGTTCAAACCCATCAGCTGCTCATTGGAACCCTCTACAGGGATGTTGAGTTGGAACTGACGAGAGGGCACTCAACAACAACAACCCTTGAATCTCCAGAACTGAACACCAGCCACACTTCCACCTCACTGTGCCTCAGATCAGCCGTTTCCTCTGTCTGGGAGGCTCGTTCCCCTCAGATCCATATAGGCCCCAGTGCCATCTTCTTGAGAGGCCTTCCACCCCCCCGCCTTGTGAAACTACCACACTCACCTCTCTAGTCCTTCCCATACTCTGTCCCATCTCTATTTCTCTCCCACACACTTGTCAACTTTGGACATAAAGTCATCGTTGTTAAGTGTCGATGAGTTGGTTCCAGCTCATAGTAACCCTGTATAGGGTTTCTGAGGCTGTAAATCTTTATGGGAGCAGACAGCTTTATCTTTCTCCCACAGAAGTGGCTAGTGGGTTTGAACCTTGTGGTTAACAGTCCCTGGTGGCACAAATGGTTAAGTGCTTGGCTGCTAACTGAAAGGTGATTTGAGCTCACCAGCATCTCTACAGGAGAAAGTCCTGGCGACCTGCTTCTCTAAAGATTGTTGTTACGTGCCGTCGAGTCGGTTCCAACTCATAGTGATCTGGTATAGGGTTTCTGAGGAGCAGCTGGTAAGCTTGAACGGTCAACTCTTCCAGCTCCAACTGACCTTTCAGTCCAGTGCATTAACCCACAGTGCTGCACCAGGATAGGAAAACCATACAGGGCAGTTCTCCTCTGTCCTATATGGGTCTTGACCCAACAACAACATCCATTTCTTTGCTTTTGCTTCAAGTTCCACCAGAACAACGGCACAAGGCAGGGATTTCGGCCATTTTGTTCACATCATATTCTCACTGCCTGGAACAATGGCTGGTACATGTCAAGGTGGTGCCCACTCAGAGTGACTCTGTACAGGGTTCCCAAGGAGCAGCTGTTGAGTTTGAACTGCCAACCTTGCATTTCAAATGACTCTGCAGTCCACAACTTATTCTCCATTGCCATACCAGGACTCCACATAGTGGGCACAAAACAAACACCTGCTAAATTCATAAAGAAAATTTTGCCTTATTCTACTGGGTTTTCACACAGCTCAGGATCCCAAACTGATTTCTATCCATGTATGTATTTTATGACCTCTTACTGGACAGCAAAGTTGGTTTGAACCGCAACGTCTATCGGCAGTTTAAGCTCATTAGCTGATCCTCGGAAATCCTATATAGGGTCGCCATAGATTGGAACCAACTTGA